CTAAAAGCAATAGAAATTAGTATTAAAATATAAAAGCCTTTACTACTTTTGAGTGAATTTTGTGACACCACTCTCATAACTGTTTTTTTCAACATCATAATCTTGTTTGCAGCCAAAAGGTGCTAAAACATTTGTGCTTCTAAAATCATAAGGAGGTTTGTTCTGAGCTCTGCTGAATCAAACTTTCACTGAGGCCATTTGCTCAGTAATTCCCACAAAGCCAACCTCTTATTGTGCTGGAGCTATATGTTAATTTTCTCTCTGTTTCCCATAAGAATGCTTTTTTTTTCTCATGTCATCGCTCAGATATGAATGATGATGGAGCAGTGTAGGATGCAGAGGTTAGTATTGTGTGAGCAGAGCTGTTTGTTGTTACGTATTGAAAGCAGGGCTGAATAGATGCTAAGCAGTTATTCACCCGTGAAGACCCAGGGCCTGCAAGCTGAGTGGGTTCTCATGGGCTCTGCTTGGTATTGCAGCACAATTGATTCCAACAATAAGGAAAGTAATTAGAATTCCCACGTTACGGCCTGCTAATGGACTTCCATCTCCCTGCTCTTCTACACAAGTTGGACAAAGTTTTAGAAACGATTGCAGCTTCCAAAGGCAGTATCTCTTCTTTACTTGACGTAACAAAAAGGTTACAGACCAGTTGTGACATATTTGTAATCTTTTATGTGAGTATCCTGGTCAAAAAGGTTTTTCTGGAGTTATGTGAGCGTCAAGTTTGTCTTAAGAGAATTGCTTCTCTGTAAGTTTAAGTGAAACACATTCAGTCTGCTCAGACGTTTCCGCATCATGAGCAAAGGCACCTGTCTCTGCTGAAATAGATATGAAGAAGAAACACAACCAGAGCTGAAAATGTTATGACTCAACTCAGTAGCACACTTGTGCAATACTTTACGGACTGCACCCATGCAATATTAAAGGCTGAGAGTTTTGATTTTGAATCGCAGTCAGTTAACACCATTACATACTAGCAGTTTGTCCATCAATATTCTTTTCAGAACTGCTTGAGGGTGCCAAACAAACATGTTCATGCAGGCATACTTAGCTTAGTTAAATGTTGTTATAGTTGGTAAGTTAACAACTGTACAAAGCATGCATTTCCATGTTAACAAATTATTTAAATTTATCGATGTGATAATTCTGCATAGCTTTTCTTTCAAGTCATCCCAGTACTTTGCACCATCTTTCTGAATGTTACAATGTGTGTTGCATTATTAAAATATATGCACTGCCCATGAATGATCTTTGCAATCAAGTTCCAGAACAAATTTTGTGAGTAGAAATCAGTTTGGAGTTAATATGGAAAACATACTGGTTTTCTTAAATGCAGAATTCCTGACTCTTTCTCTTACATTGTATGTATTTCAATATATATGTTCACTCTGGCTTGGGAGAACAAGGACCTTGGTGGAAAGTATCTTGAGCTGTGTTTTACAGTAGATTTCTTGGCTTTATAAATGATACTATCCCTACATGTAGGGAACAATCAAACAGGAGACACCTCTTTACACACAGGGTAATGGGACTGTGGAACAAGCTGCCCAGCCTTGTTTTTGAATCTGATACCCTGGCTTCCTTCAAGAAGCCATTGAACAAGATTCTTGGATCAGTAAGCTGCTAGTGACTATAAAAGCTAGGTTGGCCAAACGGCTTCCTCTTGCTTCTAAGATTTACCATCCATCCATTTTCTTATCTGTTTCATTCAACTCAGGGTTGTGGGAGAACTGGAGCCTATCTCAGCAACCAACGGGTACAGGGCCTGGTACACCCTTGAGAGAGAACACACAGACACACACAGACACACACAGACACACACAGACACACACAGACACACACAGACACACACAGACACACACAGACACACACAGACACACACTCACACCAGAGCCATTTTCCCAAAAGCCAGTTAAAATACCAGTTTGTTTTTTTTCTGTGGGAAGAAACCGGAGCACCTGTAGGATACCCATGTGAACATGGGGAGAACATATGAACTCCACACAGATAGCAGTCCAGGGCTTCAGCCCTGCGAGGCTGCAATGCTAACTCTTGCACCACTGTGCCACTCTCATTTATATTCTGTTTTTATATATATTAACTTCTTAAAGAAATTAATGTAATTATTTCTAAGCACAATGTAAAGCGAATTGGCATATCTAAAATGTGCCCTGTGCATTAGGAAAAGCTACAGCCTTGCTCAAGCAAGCATAATCATCCCTGTGCCTTGTGCAGACTCGGGACATTAATTACCCTTAATGTCTGATGGGCCATAATCTCCACAGGCAACAGAGCAAGGGGAACCGTGCTGTCAGCGTTCCAGACACTATCAATTTTCTAGTTGATCCCATTACTGTAACTCTTCAATACAATTCTTTCACTGTGTCAGTGTCTTAAAAACCTGGGCAAAAATATGAAAGTGGCTACTGCCTGCTGCCTGGACTACAGGCCTTTCAGCAGGAGAGATGCTTAGAGGAATGTGGGAAGGGCTATGTGCACAAAAAAGGCAGAGAGGTCACTTTTTTGCAGATCCTCCTTATTTTCAGTTTTTCCATGAGGTGGTTTATGGCTGGGACGTTGCCGTTACGGCAACATTTTGTCACCTGGGGGCTATCAGGTTCCCTGAGCCACCAGCAATGGTTGTTATCCAGGAGAATTTGACATGTGTTTGCAATTGTTCAGTCTGTTTTATCTTCACCAGACTGGCTTTATTAGTGAGTTGTTTCCCCGATTTCGTCGAGTTAGTCATAATAATGAGGACGTGGTTTCCATTTGAAGTTTGCTTCATGGTGAGCCATAAACTTCGATGTTGTAGAGCACTGTTGGTTATAACAGCAAGACTTTAAAAGAGAAAGACTTTATGTTATAGCCTTTTTTTCTATTTGGTGAAACAAATATTTTAATCCATTTTATAATCTAAACAAATGCTTTATATTACCCTAAAAAGCATTAAAGGTTGAAAAATTGGGCCGTGGTCTTGGGCACAGAGCATTAAGAGACCAAAGTAAAAATGGTTTATGTTGTTATTAAATCAGCTGCTTTTACATACAAGTACATGGAAAGAGTACAGTCTAGGGTAGGAGAATTTCAGTATGGTAGTCACATACATAAATATGATGGAATGTAATTGAATACTAAATTCTCTTGATATTGTCATTTATAGATGAAGGAAAACATTTAGGTTTTCTACTCATGTTTGTTATGAATAAGAGTGTGCCACATTTTTTCCATTATTTTGAAAGAGGAACTCTTGATTTATGGAATTATGGAATTATGGATTAGATATTACAGTAGACACTGGTGGTCACTGCTTCATTTCAGAATCTAGCCATAACATGCACATTAACATGATTTTATTCATTGAAAATGTCCTCCTAAGCATCTTATTGGAAGTTCTCATGAAATATTATACTTCTTCAATTCAATTCAAGCTTTATTATCCCCTGGGGGGAAATTTGTTTCATGGCAGAGTGTAATACAACAATACAACAAAAACAGATAAAGATTACCAACAAAGAAGACCAGAAACCACTGTTTTAGGAGATGAGAGTTTTTTTTTACATTGTTTGAGACTGAGATTGCAGAGGAGACGAAAGATTTCCTGAATCTGTTACTGTTACACCTGGGGACACAGAGGTATCTTCCAGGTGGGAGTAGTGTCAATTCTCAGTAGAGGGGGTGTGTTACACACTCCATAAGGCTCTTGACCTTATATAGCAGCCTCTGTTTGCAGAGTGCATTTAGCTTTGTAAATAAAGCCATAATTTTTGCCCGGAAGAAAGATTTCCTATTAACTACAGCCCTGTGGAGTTTCTCACTATACTTTGAGTATTACAGTGTTATTTACCACAGGATTCAACCAGAAGCAGTGCTTAAGGAATGGCCTGGAGGAATGTGTGAAGTCCTTGTGAATTGCATTACATGGAATGTTTATTTCTAATGCATTTAACTATGCTATACACTGTCGTGGTATATAGAATATACAGTGGTATTTCTTTTAGTTTCTGAAGTAAATTAAGATTAAATAACACTAAATAATAATTGTAGCCTAAGATATTATAGCCTCCTCTTTAATATTGGTATTAGAAAAACTACCTGTGATAAATGAAGAACAAAACATTAAAAAGTTTTAAAATTGATAGTGATGTTGGCTCTGAATAATCAAAAAAAATTTTGATCTTATTTCACAGTAATCTGGAGTATAGTCAGATATTGCCGATAAATCAGTATTTGTATTATTGTTCAGTAACTTGTTGTAGAAATCCTTTAATTTCTTGCAAGAGTCTTTCCAGGTTATCAGTCTAGTACAGAGAATTGGAGAGTTTTATTGAGCATTCAAATTTTTGGTTAACTCTGAATTTTTCACATCCACTGTAAGTAATAAGACTTTCATGCTTTTGGCAAAATATAGCTCTAGTTATAAAAACCTCATAAAGTTAAAATCAGAACAAAGTAAAATATAAATTAATGCTACAATAATAAAATTCTAGGGTTTTGTTTATCACGAAAGATAAACAAAGATCGGAGAAGTCTTCTTCTAGTCCTTGCTTAGCCATGCTTTCATTGAGTTTTTTTTTTGGTTGTGTTTTTATTTTGTATTTCTCTTTCATCACTTAAAATTGCTTTTCCCACCAGAATGTCACAGTAAGGCCTGGGTTAAGTCATTAAGATGCTAAACAGGGTTTGCCTAATCCTGAACTGCTCAGGCACAACTTCATTGCTCTCTCTCTCTCGCCGTCTCCCTCCTTCTTGGTCTCTGTGACTGTGGTGGAAGCTGGATTCTTTTTTTTCCTCTCTCTCTCTTTCCCCTTCTCTCCAAGAAGTCAGCAGATGGAGTGGAGACTGTGGTTAGAGACTGTTAATGTATGCAACAGGAGCAGGGGCATATGGTATAAATCAAAATGCAGAGCACACTCTAAATGGGGTCCCATGGGAAAGAAAAGCTTGTGATTGTGTGATGACATGCATTCTGTGAGGACACAGGGTATAGTGGGGCTTTCATCGCTGCTGTACTGAGCTGGAGGAGGGGGTTCCTTTCACCCTTGCATACATACCCTCTTGTGATGTAATCAATCTATTCTCCAAAAGCAACCCTTGATTGCCATTCACTGGGAGCGTCCTAACCAGAGAGTAAAAACCAGGGGGGTTAAGTGAATTCTCTCCCCACTGTAACCGGACTGAATCCTAAACAGAACTGCGAAACAGAAAGGCCATTTTCCTACTAGGATTCTAAGTGACGTGTGGCTGAACGCTTGCTGGCAGAATTTGTTATGGACCACTAAGTTGAGCAAAATCGGATCTGACAAGACCTTTTGCGTCTTGGAAAGGGTTGCAATATACGACGGAGAAGGACCGTGCCACTCAATCACTGTAAAAAAAAAAAAGAGAGAGTGCAAGAGAGAGTGGCAGAGTGGGAGAGAGAGAGAGAGAGAGGAGAGAAACGTGTTTGTAAAAAGGGGAAGCATTTTTGGTTGATGGGATGAAGCCAGCCATGGAAACTGCAGCAGAAGAGAATCCTGAGCAAAGCCAAGAGAAAAAAGGTACCACTGAGCCCTCGACAAAGGGGCACTTTAATGCTTTTCACTGGGATTGTTTACAAAGGGGTTTAACCTACTTGCGGATGTTTTGATTCGCGTAACGGAAAAATGCACTAGATTCTGCAGTTCCATAACACAGATATTTTCTTATACATCCAAGCTATGCACCAAAAAATAACAAATGGAAACCGTAAAAAGATCCTGTTTTAGTCTGTTTTACAGATATGGCAATACACGTCTTATTTTGCTTTTCTGAAACAGAATTAATAGCAGTTTGCTCTGAATTATTGCTGTTGGGTAGAATCTTTGTTACTGTACTTCAAACAAATGGAACTCATCTGGGGCTTTTCCTGTTTTATGGTTGGAAGAAACCTCAATGCTTTGTTCTTCATGCTAAGTATAATTTAAGAATTTATACTTGACTTTATGGTATTTAGTTCTGTTGGGAACCTTATGGACCGGTATTCTTGTTGTGCATCAGTCTATATAAGGTGATTCATTTTGTGTGGCCGTTGCTGCTGGGGTCATTGTTGTACAAGATAATTATGCCGGATCGTCAGTTAGAGGTTTTTATAATAAATGCATTAGGAAGTACAGGTTAGGAGTCAAGATATTAATCAGTATGTTTGTCAGTGGCTTTCTGATAATAAAGCCTTAAAGAGGAATAAAGGAACTCCCCAATTCATGGAGATGATTAATTTTTGGTCTATGACAGACTTATCTGTATTTTGTTGCCTGATGCAGATTTTTATGAGGAGATAATTGTGCCTTGTGAATTAAGTCTCTTGGCGGTGATTTAATTGCCAATTTTCCTATTTCTATGTGGAATTCAGGAAATAAATTGTGGAGGAAAATACTATGATGATTGATTTGTATCTTTTTTTGAATAAAATGTCTTTTTATTTCTTATTACAAGCTAGTCTTCACTTAAAAGTTAATTTTCATGAAAAAATAGACTTTTGGAAACCTTGATAATATGCTTCCAAATTAATAAGCCAGCAAAACTGAAGAGTTTTTACTCATCTTGTAAACTAATTGTTTAATTCATTAAAATTAACAGATTTAATGTATGATACAAATTTTATTCAGTATCATTTTGTAACTTTTTCTTTACCCAGAGTCTACTTAGAACGCACTGCTCTGTTTCCAGTTTTACTTTTTTGTGTCTTTTTCTGTTCTCTAAACAAAAAAACACATAAGCAAATCGGGGTTATGTCAATTTGATTTTGGATATGTTTGAATACAATAGAACGATGTCTGTAGCATGCAGATACATCAGGAGCATTGGATATTTCCTGGAAATTATGTACACTATTTTTAATGATTTAACTTCAGCCTGCTGTGAGATAATAGCAGCTACTCTTCAGGTGGTCACAGTGGTCATTTCTGACAACATTCAGACTTTTCATCATTGTCCTCACACCTGGAGACAAATGGCCAAGCGCAGATGCTTGGATAGATTGGTTTTGTTTAGGTTCTACAGCTGATCCTGAGAGATTTATTAGATGTCGTGATCCATGTAATTATAATTCATCCAAATGGATGAGTCTTCTCATTTTTGGATTATTAACCTTGTCTTTTTGCTTACAGCTCATTAGTAAACCAAAATACTTAGAATATACTGAAGTTACATAACACATAAGGGTTTACCAGTCTGCCATCAGTTTAAAAAAATAAAAACCATACAGTATGTGCATACTGTAGAACCCCAACAATTTTAATTGGTATTAGTATAATTGCAGGGTGCATGAAGAGGCAGTATCTTCTCTCCGATGGTTTCCATTAAATACGATAAGAAGCTTCCTAGGTAGGATCACAAGGACTGACTGCTCTTAAACATGGAGGCCCCTATCTGGGAAGCTGTCACTTGTTTGACAGGAAAAAGCACAACTGTTTGTCGCTAAAAACAATATTTTAGAGATTGCAGTGTGTTCACGCAGTTTTAGGAGCAGCACCGAGATTATGCAAGATTCATAGTAAGTATTGTACAGGTGTTTTGGGAATTTTCAGGGTACAACAGCTGACAGCTTTTGCCTACAGGCTTTAAATGAGGGCTAAGTGTTTGTAACAGAGGCGCAAGCAGTCAGCTGGAAGGATTGTGCATGGTGTCATATTTTTCTGCTTGAGGAAAGTTAAAGGAAAAAACGAAGTCACCGTGTATCCCAGAAGTGTCAAAATTAGTGATAATGGAGGCTGTAAACTTTGTGGTTCGACTTACTTCTACTACTAGTTTGAGTAATATGGGCCTTTTATAGTGATTCTTCCATTTTTTCATGAGGTTCCATCTGGCTTAGCACTTGCCACGTCTGTCTTGTGTGACACAATCAGAACTCTAAATAGTCCAATCTAAAGGGAGTCTCAGTCTTGAAAGGCATATGTTATCTTCAGCATCAAGGTGACATTTGGTGGATTTGTCTGTTTTTTTATGATAACACTGAATTCCTGTGGCTATTAAAATGCATTTGCATGCGCCTTTGCCTCAGAAGTCTGAAAGATGTTGAATATCAACTACATTTTTTTTAAATACAGAGAAGCTACGTTTCCTGAGCTTTAGTATTCTATCTTTGGAGAGTTTATAAAGATGACTAAGATATTATATATTGCAGGTCTGAATTTTTTAGGCTATAGATTTTATATGCATGGATTCTGATAATTGATAATTGCTGCTTTAAAAACATAGAAGAAAAAGGCACATCATGCTCACAACAGTTGTTGCATTATATGCTTTGCTCTCGTGTGATTTAATTATTTTTTTAAAGATGCCAAAGTGAAACGGCAGTTCATCAATTGCGCGGTGCAATCTCTGCAGACAGTAAATTAAAGACTAAAAGAAAAGACACATTGAGATACACCACTCACATGTACTACTGCTTACTTGCAGTTTGATTTTGTTTGTGGTTTCTCAAATGCAAAAACATGCTTTCCTAGATATATTTTTTAAATAAAACTCTGAATGCATCACTGACATCTGCACAACATTCCAAAACCTGATTTGAATAAGGGTGTTTCAGCCCATTGTATATTCCACCTAGCTCTATTTCTAATTGAAATGGGAGACATCCTGAAGAAAACAGAACTTAAACATGTTAAAAAACATCAACTGGGTCTCTAAGGTATGTCATCATAAAATATGAAGGTCTGAGATGAAAAAAAATCTGAATTATATTTCAACATCTGTGAAAGCTTAGATCTGCTCTGATCTCTGATGCTTTCATATTTCTAAAAGGTTTGTTTTCATTATTGTTATCATTATTGTTTACTGTTTACGATTTAATACGTCTTACTTCTTCCTCTTCCCTTTTTTAAACAAAGAGCTTATGTTGGAGGGTTTGCCCCCAATTATTTCTTTCCATCCTTTTAACAGTACTTCAATCGGTCACCTGGGCTCCAGACATATATTGATACATATTGAAAAAGATTCTTACTACAGGTATGTCTTGGAGGTCAGAAGTGGCAGCACCTCTGTTTTTCGCTAAATCGTTCTGCTCACATTGTGCTACAACTCTCCTTTACTGTATTTGCACCTAAGTTGTTTAAAATGTATTGTGTGTTGGGCGTGCCTTAGCACAAAATCCTCTGACTCTTGTTATTGCTGTGTGCTTTCATAGCAACACAGGCAGCCCTAGTGTCAGTATCTCCTTGCCATCCCTAGCCCTTCACATTTTCACATGGGATCTTTCTGTGGCACAAAACAAAAACACAGAAAAAAGAAACCGCTCACAATATCGGAAACAGTTTTGTTCCTGGAACATTCTTTTTCAGCTGTAACTTATTGTAGATGCAGTAGGCTAAGATTGCATAACCAATTGTTTGCATCTCGCGTTGTGTGCTGCCGTAGGAGTTAGCTTAGTTCTTGGATCAATTCAGCTCTCAGGCGTAGGAGTTCTTAAAACAGAGAAAACCTAAAACAGTCCCATGCTGGATGACACGCTGTTCTTCATGTGGGGCGGCGCAGTGGCTAAGGATCTGCGCCTGTGGCTGGAAGGTTGTCGGTTCGTATCCAGCAGCCGGCAGAAGAATCCTACTCCTTTGGGCCCCTGAGCAAGAGCCTTAACCCCAACTGCTCCAGGGGTGCTGTATAAATGTCTGACCCTGCGCCCTGACCCCAAGCTTCCCTCCCTGTTTGTGTGTCTGTGTGTCTCAGTGAGAGCATGAGTTGGGGTATAGGAAAAAAGAGAATTTCCTAATACTTGAAATTCTATATGTCCATTAAAGTGATCTTATCTTAACTAGAATTCCTAAGAAACTTACTAGTGGGATTCCAATATTCATGCTTTGCTGTCGGACTTCAGTGTTTCTTACATTGTATTCCCAATACAGCAAATATATTGGGAATGACAGTAATTTGATGGCAGGATATTAGCAATTCAGTTTAATAGCGAAGAGAGAACACGTTGGTCAGAACCATACAAATAGGTCAGTAGACATCCTGAAAAAATTAACAAGCAGCAGCTCTGAGCCAAGCTGAGACGGCTTTATTGAATACGGTAAGGGTAAAATAATAAGGGTAAAATTCTGATAGAGGTCAGAGGGGGCTAGGCATGTGTGAATCCAATGCAAGGTGGGAGGAAGCTTGTTGCATCTTGCTTCTCACATTATGGACTGAAACTGTCCTGGTTTCTCATACCCTAACTCTTGCGATAGCACGCAAGCCCCTAAACTGAGCCCCAATGAGCACTTGTGGCCTATCATTGATCACACCCTGTGAAAACAGCAAAGGTGACCCAGTTCTTGAGACTTCTCACGCAAAGGGAGAAACGAGCAACAAATTATTGTCTTTCTTAGTTTTTGCCAATGCAGTTTCTGCAAAATAAATAAAAAAAGATATTTTTTTTTCAAATTTTGCATATTCTTTTATTTCTTACAAAGCTACAGGGAGTTCCAGCTCTTGCAAACATATTTGGAGTGTGTTTTATCTAAGGCAGTTAGATGTGCATAAAATTGTGTATTAATGTGGTGCTTGTTGTGCTGTTCTGTGAATTTGAGAGAAACCATTCCATTTC